ACAAGTTAATATGAATGAAGCCTAGTAAAAATTGATAAAGATACACGTTGCTTTTGCTCTTAACGATTTGAAAACCATTTCACACTATAAAATTATGTCTTTAATAATATTTATTGATAATGTGAGGTTTTTAAAAGATAGTTTCAATAATTAAATTATATCACAGAAGTTGTAAAAATTAATTACTTATATATATATATATCACTGTATACATTTTTTTTTATTGGTAAAATGCTATTTAAATACATTTATAATAAATAATTTATATTTATAGAAATGTGAATATATAAAACAAATATTAAGTAAGTAAGTTTCCCTATGTAACAAATTTTCAGTGAATTGACTAATATCTGAAAAGATCATTTTCAATGATGAATCTATTAACATCTTTTCTGAAAAATTTTTAATATTTTAATAGGTGTATTTGTTAATTTTTTATGTGTCATTTGCAATAATATATCATATTCCTCAAAAGAAAGATCATAATGTCCTAAAAAAAAAGAATATTAATTTTTAATATATATCCGTAAAAAAATGTAATATTTAACAATTAAAAGATATACATACCTAATTGATATAGAAACTGTGAAATAGTGTTTTCATTGCGAACTGTTATTGCAATAATTGCATATCTGTTAACAAAGGATAAAAATTTTTTTAATCCTAATATCAATACAGAAAATGAATTGACGTCGTATAAAATATCAGCCCCGATAATTATATCTGGTATAATCCATTTTTCGTTTATATAATTATCAATATCTTCCCATCTTAATTCTATTATCTTAACATCTGTACAATTGTATTTCAATTGCAATTTCAACATATCATGCTTTAATTCTGATTCTATTTTCTTTTCATTATGCAATAAATTAAGTATAACGTTTTCAGAAACCATTTTAAGAACAGTTTTGTGACAATCTGTGAATATGTATTGTCCCGGAGAACACATTTTGATAACCGATAATCCTGTTAATCCAACACCACAACCAAGCTCTAAAACAACTTTTCCATAAAATTCATGCTTATTTTTTAAGCACCATTTACATAACTCGACAGCCCCCTGTAAATCATAAACAATACCGAAGTGGAAAATTTAAAAAATTATATTGTACAATTATAATTTTTGAACTACCTGCCAACTACATAATCCTGTTGTACCTTTCGATATAATATTTGTACTCTCTTTTATACTGATGCAATTATTCTCCATTAAAAAATGCCGATAATGAACAGACTCTTCTGCAGTAGAAGATATTAAATTACAATACGTTGTATAAATATCATCACAGATTTCACCTCCTTCGTCTTCAATCTAAATTGTAGAAAATTAATTTTTCATTTTGTAAATAAATTTGTTTCATGGATATTGGATTTTTTTATACCTTCTTCATAAGCCATTTTAAAAATGCTCTTTGGTAAGACTGTTTAATCGGATATTTTCTAATCAAGTCGCTATTTACCGTTCTGTCTAGAATCTCCTGTTGCTTTTCCAAGTTAGCTAGATAATTAATATTTTCTCCCAAAATCTGAAAGTTTGAAAATTTGAATATGAAATTTTTTTTTTAATTTGTAGATTAATTGTAGAACATAAGTACAAGTATATCCACTGTATTTATTGGCGTGCAACAAAGGAAATGCTTAATTAAATTATCCACATCGAACGAACTGCAATTCATTTTGTTGCCTGTATCTCGAACATAAGGTAACAAACTTCTACATTTCTCTTTTCTGTTAATGTTTCACGATCCTTTCATATTCAACAGTTTACATTACGATATTTCCTGAATAAAATAGGACAACAGTGAAACAGCTATTTTGTCATAAATAATTTTCTGACATCAAAAATCATGTGCGACAAAATGACTCGTTTTTTTAGCCGATTGGTTTTATATAAAAGAAAATAATCAACTTAATAAGTATATTTAATTTCTTTAAAAAACTCGACAGAAAATATACTTGTAAATCAATGCAATCTAAATCTTTTCATTTTGAAACAAAAATATCGTCAAACTTCAAAATTTCTGCAATCTTCTGCGTAGGAACAAGCCAGTCTCCTCATATTGAAGTTTAGTTATTTATCTAAAAATTCGACCTAACCTGAAATGCAAAAGGTTAGCATTTCTTTCTTTAAAAAATTCGACAGAAAATATACTCGTAAATCGATACAATTTATAGATCTTTTCATTTTGAAACAAAAATATCATCAGACTTCGACTTCTGCAAACGTTTGCGCGAATATGCCAAAAATATAAAGTACATTAAAATTTGTCTAAAAATTCAACCAACCTAACCTGAAATGCAAAAGATTAGCATTTCTTTATTTTGCATAGTAAATTAGTAATATTTGTGTTTTTTTTCCTTTTTTTCGTTTTTCCATTTTACAATTATTTATGTTTATTGCACGTTATCTCAACGATAATTAATATCAAATATTTTGAATTGGAATTAAGCGAAAGAACTCTCTAATAAATTGTCCAGAATTCAACCAATAAAAATCAAGTACAAACCACTAGATGAATCGTTCTGTGGTTCTGCAAATTCCGAATAGGTTCACTTCTCGCGAGGAAGGTCTCGTCGAATTTTGACAGTTGTTCATCTTCCTTATATCTAACGAGACAGTATCGTCCGATCACAATTTTCAATTATGTGCGTGGGTATTTCCCATAACGTAGCGGTACGGAACTAATAGTGCTACGAAAATTATGATAAAATGTAGCCAATTTTTCGAGACAAGTAACGGTCAAAAGCCAATATTACCTGCTATGAATGACAATTTATGTATTCATGTTTCTGAAACATTTTAAACTTGTCGAATTGTCAAGGTACGATTAAATGACATCACATTGCGAAATCTTTATCGAAGCCACTCTAATTGCGGCTAATTGTCCAACTTAGATTAATAGTCTTACTGCTATCACATAATGGCCTCTGCTATGGAACAGCAACAGCAACAGCAGCAGCAGCAGACAACCTTAGAGTTTTACCAGGCAATGGCTGATTTCAAAAACATGTTTCCACAAATGGATGATGATGTGATCGAGGTAAAGTCATTTAATAAATGTATCAGATTATATTATGTAACTAAAAAGTCTTAATTTTATGATTTTGTTTGAAGTTACACATTGGAGAAGTTGAGTTAAAAGATTTCTGTACCATGTAGTTAGATGACTGAAAGTTAAATACTTCAAGGATTTGTACATGCGATTTATATTGCATCTCAAATCTAGAATTTATTTTATGAGTTTTGTTATCGATTTTCATCTTTCAGGCTGTATTAAGATCTAATCAAGGAGCTGTAGACACAACAATCGATCAGTTACTTACTATGAGCACAGATAACGAAAATGAAAAGATTAGAAGCGAATTGGAGCAGAATGAGAAATCACCAGGTACCTCTAAGTCACAGAAAACAGACTCAACGATATCCTCGAAAAGTATACGTAAATGGCAGCCTGCTTTATTAGGACCATTGCCAGATACATTCCTCCGACTTCCTCAGCAAATTTCTGAAGATAATTTAGATCCTTCGTGCTTGCAAGAAAATTCCATGTTGGAAGACGAAAGAATTGCTATATTTCTTCAAAATGAAGAGTTCATGGCCGAGCTACGCTGGAATGAAGATTTTCTTTCAACTTTAGAAAATGGTTTGTAATTATAATTTGCATAGTAATAACAATGTAGAGTTCCAGTTATTATACGTTATTTTATTACAGATACAAAAATTCAAGGGACAAGTCTTGAAAAATGTAATAGTCAAATTGGTCACGATGATGAGGATCTTTTTAAAGAAAGACTAAAAAATATGGGCAAAGGTATATCAATTTCTGTAATGTGTTTTAATCATATGATATTTTAATCATTGTTTAAAAATTTTCATTTTGTACTTTACCTTCGTTATTTTGATTTCATTTCAGTATCTCGACGTAAGTTTGCACAACTTACTAAAGTATTTACACGTAGTAAAAAACGAGGCGGTAGACAATTATTACCCCCAACAGCTTCCTGTGATGACTTATTGGACCCAGAGGAATCATCTAGATTTCAATCTTAGAAATTATAATACTTCCTTGATCCTGTCAGGAAAGACAGCTTTTCAGTAATTGGTTTACTTGCAGCAATTTATCCAGTCCAAAAGTGAAAAAGAAGCATATCTGTATTAATATTAACAATTGAATGACAAACTATAAAAAAGATTTAGGGTGAGAATAGTTTTATCGATACAGATTATTTAAGTTAGAAAACAATTAGCAAGACTCGTATTCCGTGCAGTTAATATTAAGTTGCTTGAATGACAGTTTAATTCAAGAGAACAAAAAGATCAAAAGATAAAATATAGAAATATTAGTCTTAGATGTTACTTAAAAAAAAGATTCCAGATTACGGAAAATTTCGTATTTTAATAATGTACTGGGAATAAGTACACATTTTAGATAGTAACGGTACAATAATTACAACAGTCGTACTACTAAACTAAGAATCTGTCATATGTTGTTAAAAGTATTGATTTTTTTATCATGACATTGTGAAATTTTATAAATTTCATATTTATAAATGGTTGATATTATTTAATATATATTATTATTATTTATAATTAATCGTTGATAATGATTTAAGGAGTTTATAGTTGTTCTTTATACAAAAATTTTTTTTATAATTTATATTTATTTAAAACAAAATATTTGTTATTGGCAAACGTTGTTAAAATATAGAATAAATGATATTTGTAGGTATCAAATAAATAATAGTCTAAAAATTTTTATCCAAAGTTAATATAAACGTTAGTTAAAAGTAAAATTGAGAATTGGCAAATTTGTGATAATTTAATTTGATGATTTAATTTCATGTGATATTTTTGCTAATATAAAAATAGCTTTTTTTTACATTATTGCGCGCAATAATAATAATACTTTATTTATTAATACATTTTTGAGAAACTTCTATCTATTTACAATTGTAAGTGTAATGAATTCTAGTCTATTCGTCTAGCCACATTACTCATTCAGTAATTAATATTGAGGATTGTAATTACACCTACATATATGTGTGTGTGTATATATGTATATGCATATGTATATGTATATGTGTGTGTATATATATATATAATGTTGGTGTAGAAGACCTTTATATATAAATAAGTATAATTAAATACAGTATATGCTACAAGCATGAGAACAAAGCTAAAAATATTGGACTTTAATATATAAAAATAAATGATGTAATTTTTAGTGTCTCTTTAATAAGTTCAAACTCATTTGACACATTATCCTGTATTTTTATTTTCTCATTATTGTAATATACAATGCATGTAAAAAAGTATTCAATACAGCCAATTTCGACAAAAATGTCGTAGAACTTTATTCATTTAAAACACTTTAATGAATAAAAAATGTGTACGCATTCCAAAAAATGTTTAGAATGAAAATTTACACATCTTTTGTTTGTTAGAATGTCGTAAATAAACAGTGTTTTACAAAGTTTTTGTCCAAATTGGTTGGCTGCACGAATATTCATTGCGCATATGATACAAATTACAAAAGGATTATGAAAATAAATTTATAGCATATAAAATGTTTTAGAGCTGTTTTTTATAAAGCACAATAGTATCTTATAATATACAATTTGACATTCTCTATACATTAGCAATGAAAAATATGAAACAAAAATATTCATCAATCACATTTTTAATTAATTAATTCAACAACACAGTTTATGGAATTTTCAATACCACCTGGTACGTTACGTATCAGACTGTTTAAAAAACACTCTAGCGCCAGATAAACTATAGTAGAGCAATTGAAATTCAGCACTCCTTTCACCTAAGCGTTTTAACGTTAATGCCCTTGTTTGTTGCAACTTTTCATCACCCTGAACATTTTTACTCTCTGCAGCCCGTTGTTCAGCGCTTATATGTTGCTCAACTGTTTTGAACCAATGTAAGCTGTCCAATTCCGACGATTGATCTAATAGGGCATTTATATAGGCGATTCCCATTGCGAAACCATCGTCAGTAAAAGCTGCACCCGTTTGATTTTTCTTGAACATTTTCTCTTTATTCGATATCGAATTATCCACAAAGCTTAACGTTAATGGAGGTACAATGGCATAAAATTGTTGCAGATGATGTGACGCAGTGTCTCGAAAAGCGGACGCGAATACGTCAACAAGGAGCTTGAAGTATTGTATTCCTTCTGTGAAATTTCGCACTAAATTTGCAATATCATTTTCCAAACACTTTGCCGCTGCTTGAGTGGTCGTGCTATAATTCAAATTTTTACACATTAGTTCGAATGGTACGGACGAATCGATGTTTGGTAGAAATGAAATGGCGTTTGAACTAGCGTGCAATCCACCGGATCTAATTAATCGTACATATCCCAGTGCATTTCCAATCTGAGTTATCAATTGTCGAAATTGATCTAGATAACTCAATCCATCGGGTGTCATGCCCAGTTTTCTAATTCCTTTTTGAAATTTCTCTGCTCTTTCGTACGTGTATAGCGTTGTCCCATTTTCCCGTTGAGCTTTGATAAATCTTATGTCCCGCATTAATCTCGATTTTATGTGCTCGTCGAAAAGAAACTGTGAAAACGTGTGCAACTTTATACGAAGAAACTGATACACGAAATTAACTGTTGTACTCATGATACCAGTCCCATGCGTTCTGATGGAATTCGCTATATGTCGAATACCAATGGTGTTTAAATGCTTGTTGTTGCTAGTATGTTCGATGAAGGTTTGAGTATTTAAATTGTATAGGTATTTTGAAACAAATACGTGAATATTCCTCATAATTTCCAAAGCGTCCAGGCCTTGTTCCAAGGTTTGCGTTGGCAAATGATTTTGTACAGTGTCCAGATTTAACTTATAATGTGCCAAGGCATGCATCATTCTGTACGTTCTCCAATCGTGTAGTGCCACTGTGGTGAGATTGTAAAACATGTCATCGAGGTAATGTTCAATGAATCTTTTAGCATATATCATACTGTTCGCTAAAGGTAGAGGTAATGCTCGTACTATTCTTCCACCATCTTTTGCCCCGATATTAAACGGATTTATAGAATCTAACTTTAAATGTGCGTGAACATGAAGTCTCAGATTAGTTTCAATCTCGTGACAAACAGGTTCCAATATATTTTTCGTTAACATTTCTCTCAACTGTGTAATTCTTTTGTGTTTTAAATTTAATCCCTCTTGTTCGCTAATGGTGCTGTTAAATGCATTAAATAAATGAACTACGTGATTTATACTTAAATTACTGTCTATTACGGAAGAGAAATAGGCTGGTATTATGTTCTGATGATACAGTAATATAGAGTAATCACAAGTATCCGTTATAATACTATGCAATTCAGCGACAGTATCATAATTGTTTAATGAAAATCTCAATTTCATCATATCTTCTTCCTTAAAGGTATCTGTTAATTGACTAGCACAGGCTAGAGCACATCTGATTATCAATCTTCTATCTGCACTTGGTGGTCCATTTAACAATCTCATGCTTAAACCAACTAGTGACAATGCATCCAGTTTTTCTTTGCTGTAACCTTTATCCTTCTGAATTAAACTCTTTCGAGCGGTTTCCAATGTAATTAAAATGTAATAACTCAAATATTGTAATACTTGACTTTGTGACTGCACTATAACTGGTCCCAGTATGTAAAATGTAGTCTGCAGAGACTTTTGTACTTCTATCAATCTGCAAATTAATTGAACAGTGATACGATTCATTGGTTTAATAAGAATTGCATGCATATTTATTATAAAAGACACAATTTCTTTGATCTGCGACAACAAAGCAACTAAATCGATTAGCAAAGTCTGTTTCTGCCCAATGTCCGAAATCTGGAGACTTGTTTTCATCAGGATACTTTGCATTTCGATGCACCATGTTACCGCTTTGTGAATTAAGCTATTGACAGTCTGAGAAAGTTTCTGTATCCTCAAGCACAATATCTTCTCTCCTATTTGCTGACTAACAGCATTACCAGCTTCTTTCGGCAAAAAATCACTCAGAAATTTACTCGGAATCCATATAACATTTCCAATCAAATTTACAGCATAAAACTTTTTATTATTTTCGAGCACCCTTCTGATCAACCTTCTATCGCAAGTGCCAAATAATTTTGTTGTCACAACAATGCCAACGTTTATTTTGATCCAATTTTTATTCAGCGAGACATAGTCATTCGGCTTATTCTCTATGTCTACCATTAAGTGTTTCAAGTAATTAACGATCTGCTCGCTCATTATGGATCCTTTATTTACATCCATCACACGTTCAATTGTTTTGGCAAACAGAACCTTCTTTAGCAAGTTCTCCTGTAGATCTTTCAACAACTTGTTGAACGTATGCAGTTTGGATTCACTTAAACCGAACTGCAACGGATTGTGCATAATAGAGCGCACGTTCATTCTGTATTTCTTCCATTGTTCCAACAGCGATGGTTGGGACTCGACGATCTCGTCTAACGTCAGAACGATTATGAACAAGTCGATAAAGTGCTCTATTAACACAGGTAAATAAATATCATTAGAATCACCCGCCAGACTAGATAGCTGTTCTGTCGTCAAGTGCGCTACTGTCCATACCCTGTTTACAAAAACAAACAGATCTTGCAGATCAGATAAAAGAGACGTGACGTTAGTTTGATTGTTCTCAGCTCCTCTCTCACCGTGAATGAACAACTTCTTATAAAATGTTTTCGCTTCCATCACGAGCAGTCTGATCTCTCGGCAGGTACCGGCGACAGCCGCGAGTAACTTCGACAAGTATTTGTTTTCCATTTCTATTAGATTTATCAAGCTGATATTTTCGACAGGCTTGTAGACAAGCCGAAGCGGTCCCTCCATGAAATACTCCAGCGTAGAGTCTTTCTTCCATGTCTGTTTGGCTAGATTCTCAAAGAATTGCCCGTACTTTCGCAGATGTATTGAACCCGCCGCTTTATATATAGTCTCGTCCTTTTTCGAACTCCACGCCGACGATTCTATCATTGTTACTTTGGCGGTGTTGATTTAAATACGTCAAAACATAGGTTTTTTTCAACAAACAGACGACATTTAAATTTAAATTCAGCAGTGTTAGATTTTTGACATAACTCACGCAGGTCTCTGTGTCGTTCTATACAATGTTTTCAGCATTTGTTTTTGAGCAAGAATATTTTTTTAATTACCTCTAACTACTATCACGACATTGTTGTCTTTTTACATATTTACAGAGAAAATGAAATAAAATTAGAAAGCAGATATCATAGATGACAGATAGCTGATACTACTGTACCACACTGTACCAATGAATCGGACCAGGGAACGTAAATAAAACCATATGATCAAGAAGACCTAAAGGAAACAGAATTGCATTTCTTGAAATGTGAAACTGAAAAAAACTAGCTGAAAGTTGATCTCATACCCGTGATAACGGAACATATTAGGTTTTACAATAAAAAATTTTTGTTGTGAAATATTATAAATCATCGATAAAAATCGTAATCCACTAGCAACTTCTGGCCAATAGCTGGCGAATAGTTGGAATCTATGTCGCTCCATAGAAACAGATAATTCTCTATTGAATAAACTTTTGAACGAACCCTAAATGTATATATATATATATA